ATTGTCCTCGCTATGACTAAAACATGTCAGATCTTTTTCTAGTTATAGCCCGGTACAATCAGATTAAAATAAGTTGTTAAAAATGATTCTCTATTCACTGTCTTTGTTTTGTGACAGCCTCATGTTGACGGGCGACCGGCAGAATTTAAAGACAGCACAAACACATTGCTGTGATCAGAAGGAACCCGGCATTTCGGTGAAGGTAATCCCTCAAGTACATGTATACACTATGCCGACGGGAATATCGATTTGTTCCACTTTCAGCTGTCATTTCCACAACATGCTAGCCCACGGTGCCAATGTACCAGGTTCGAAAGGAGGGGGTCTGAGGAGCGGACGTGCAGTATTCGTAGGTGCATGCCTGCACAAACGTTTTTTTTTTTTAAATTCTCTTATTTTCTAAATACTAGCAATGGAAAATCATTATATTAACACATTGGAACTAGTTTATGATGGAACTATCAATTTGTCAATAAAGAAACGTGCTGCTCAACTTTAAGTATGACCAAAGACATTTGTAGCAACATGTTTTGAGTAACTTGTTCTAAAACTTGTCCTTACCATATTTACAAAACAAGACCAGTAATCTGACAATTTTCACGTCATGTGGGAAACAAGTGAAAACTATAGTAAATGGCGATAGTTTATTGGAAACATACTTCGCAATAGTAAATTCAAGGCTCAAAAGAAAAAATACCATTTGTTTAAAATTACCAAGCCTGAGAAAATTCATCGCGAGTGATAATCACATAAAAAGCTGAACTGCCGTGATAAATTAGCAACAGGGTGTATTCCATTTATATGTACTGTAAAATCAAATAGCGGAGCCATGAATTCGTGTCCTATTTTAATGCCGACTTTTGTCAAGAAACGGTTTCCAACTTTCCGAAAATGAACCCGGGGCAACAACACTCAAAATTGACCTATTATTAAAAAAAAACCAGTATAATGGCCAAATAGACATATATACTGTGAAACGGTAGTACTCCTTTTAGAGGATGTGGTGGCCCTGAAAAGGGCCGTTTGGTTTGTGTACGCTTCAACGTACAATTAAGCACGCTCACCACGAATACGGCGGGCAAGTTGAATGTCTTTGGGCATGATTGTGACACGCTTGGCGTGGATGGCGCACAAGTTGGTGTCCTCGAAGAGACCGACAAGGTAAGCTTCGCTGGCTTCTTGTAATGCCATAACGGCAGAGCTCTGGAAACGAAGATCGGTCTTGAAATCTTGAGCGATTTCACGGACTAGACGCTGGAATGGGAGTTTACGGATCAGAAGTTCGGTGCTTTTCTGGTAACGACGGATCTCACGAAGTGCGACGGTACCTGGCCTGTAACGATGAGGTTTCTTCACTCCTCCGGTGGCTGGTGCGCTTTTACGGGCGGCTTTGGTTGCCAACTGTTTACGTGGTGCTTTACCACCGGTAGATTTACGTGCGGTTTGCTTGGTACGTGCCATCCTAAAATATGTTCCTGTTCTGAAACGAGTGGAAATGATTCTGAAACTGGCGCCAAATGATTTATGCTAGAAAGTTCACACGCTACTGTTATTGGATAATACATGCGCTCTCTGATTGGTCAAAATTAACGCAATCTCATTGGATTAAAAGTGCAGCAGCAGAATCCGGATTTGTACTCAAGCTCAGCACTCGGGTCAACTCATAAAATAACACTAATATGAACACGGAGGACTGAAACCCAATTATGGAGACATACATTCATTAAATTTGCTGCAATGTATAGTTACTCATTCTGTTCGCAGTATTTGTGTGCCAAGTAACATTTGTAGGGCGTAGTTGCAGGAAAGCACATTACCTTTCTAAGTCCAACTGGGGGCAGACTGAAGCTATGGAAGAATTTCCTAAGAGTAGTTGTTGCCCGTAAATAGAAAAATTATTGTGTACATGCCAATAAATCGTACAATTTTACACTCCATCCACTGATCTGTTTTGACAGACCTCCTTGTTGTAATTCGTTAAGTGCATTAGACAGGAATATATCAATGCAGATTTTGGTATACTCAGAGCAATTTATAAAAACTTAAACGTTTGATCAGTGCACAGAGATTTTTTTTTTTTTTTTACCTCCATGATCAGTGTCACACCGAGCACACTGGTAAATACAAAAAAAATAATACTAATACATTCACTCATGGTATTGAAACTGTCGACAATAGAAACTTTCATTCACTGCAAGTGTACATAATCAAACAAGCCACAAACAAGGTCTCTTAACATTACACACAATACTATAGCTTTAACGGTAGTTCTCTTTTTGAAGGATGTGGTGGCCCTGAAAAGGGCCGTTTGGTTTGGTTTCGTGCAAGGGAAAGTCTAACCACCAAAACCGTACAGTGTACGGCCTTGGCGTTTCAAGGCGTAGACGACATCCATGGCGGTGACAGTCTTTCTTTTGGCGTGCTCGGTGTAGGTGACGGCATCACGGATAACATTCTCTAAGAAAACCTTCAACACACCACGGGTTTCTTCGTAGATGAGACCAGAGATACGCTTCACACCACCACGACGTGCGAGACGACGGATAGCTGGCTTGGTTATACCTTGGATATTATCACGAAGAACTTTACGATGACGCTTGGCGCCTCCTTTTCCTAGACCCTTTCCTCCTTTACCACGGCCGGACATTTTAAACTCAGTACAGTTAAACCAAATGCTGAATGAATGAACGATATGCCAGTCGCTCCTTTATATCATTGTTGCGAACGTGAGAGAAAACGCCACAACATTCCGACCTTGAAACGCTTGAATTGCGGTTAACAGTGATTGGTCCACGTTTCAGCCAATAACAAATCAAATAAAGAGGTCAATAAACTCTTACATGGCTGCCAGAATCCGATTTTGCCATCAAGCTACATCCATGCATTGAAGGTACTATCGGTATCCAAGTGTTTCAGAGAGACTCCGCTAACTTTCAGTTTGTTTTTGTTCGTCGATTTTTGCAAAGTCATTAGAAAATAATGTTTCAAGAACTACATTTTAAAAAAATTAATAAGACGGTCACAAACTTGTTTGTAAAAATAATGACAGCTTCAAATGTATCATGTAATAGTATTCAGCTTTAAATAAATGTCTAGCCAGACCAGACCAATCTCGAGAGACCACTTGCACATACAAAAAAAAGTCAGGAGAGACAACAGTGACATTCAATGTCCGGAACTGTCGCCTGGCACCAAAAATATTTGAAAAAAAAATAAAATAAAAAAACTAAAAAAAAAAAAAAAACTCGAAAGACCAACTTACATGTCAATAAAATACAATAACTAAAATGTACAATTTCCATCAGAGGCTTATAAATATCACCCATGGGATTTTATGTTTTGCTCGCTATTATCGAACGCGCGTACCACAGCTTCTAGTAAACCGAACCCCTTGCTGATAGTCACCGAGATACATCGCGGAAAGTTTAACAATAACAGCTCGAGCGGAAAATATAATAACGAAGGAGATGATACTGTTATTTCTGTCAAATTATGCAAATATAGTAGTTCATGATTAGTGTAATCTGGTTATTCCAGAAACAGATCACCGGCACGCGAATACGCCACTGGTTAGAAACCTGGTCCGCTCCCCTGAGGGTGTGGCATGCAAGGAACATAAGTCGTTTGTTCTTTCGTGATCATTCCATTATTTCCCATTTTGACGATTTTCATGGATTTCTGTTTTGAAATACTTTATTTAAAAACAAACAAACACCCAAACAAACAATAAGACTTGTAAGCTAGTATATGGGGCTACCCACACCCATCGTCTGTAAACTGTATCCTCGGGGGCGGAGCTACGTCACAAGACGTTCCACGTTGCTACGACGCGCACCATTGTACATGCATTTCTATGGGCTCTGTGCGCGCTGCTGTGAAACGCCGGTCGAGCCGGTGAAAATTCGAGAAAACAACACAAACTCAACTTTGAAGTAATCCCGAACAGCCAAATTTATATATGTTACACACGTAGGGCTAATCTTGTTACACTGTTCAGAGGAGT